TGTAATTGTAATGGCACTGGAAAGAGAGCAAACCAACAGCTAGATCCCTGATAAGGGTCCTTACCAGAGAACTTGCATTTGTTGTCACAATTACACACGACAAACTCAAATGCCTTGCTACCAATCAATTTGCAGGGAAACAAGAAAAATAATACTTCTAAATGAGTGGTTCTGCTAATAATTTCATGAAAGAGACCAAAGATGGCCCAAGGGGGCATTTCACATGTCTTTACAGGCACTGGGGACAAATGAATAAGAAATACAACCTGGGCACAAATCCTGCGGTAGGGGAAATCCATGCCTTGGGCAGTTTTCCCCTCTCCACCTCGTGCCCCAAGAATGAATGCCTCTGGAGGGGAAGCCGGAGCAAGGCGACCCCGCCAGGAGGATGGAGGGGGAAGAAGGGGCCCAGGGGCCTTCCCAAAGGGACCACCGGGGGCTGCGGAGGCCTGTGCCCCGGCTCTCGCGTGGGTCAAACGCGGCCTCCCCAGGAGCAGCCCCACGTCCCAGACGACCATTCCCGGCCCCCCCACTTCCTGTCACTGGCACCGCCGGACCCCCGCGCCTCCGCCTCCCCGGGGCGCCCCCCCTCAGCCCCCCCCCAGCCCGCCAGGCTCCAGCTGACAGCCCCGCCCGGGGGCCAAGGCCGCGGCCAGGACCCGGAGTCCCAGGCCAGGGCCGCCCCCTCCCTCCTCACGCACCTCCGAGACGCGACACGGCGTTTTGGCGCCAAATGTCCGGGAGAGCGGGGAGGGCGGCAGCTGCAGCTACGCCGGACGGGGCCCTCGCGGACCGACGCCCCCGGAGGGACCCGCGGCCGCGAGCCCCCGCCAACGGCCAACCGCCGGTGCGCGCGAGCCCTCAGCCCCGACTCGGGGCCCGGCCTGGCACCGGCCCGGCCTGTCAAGCGGCCCGCGCGCGGCTGCCCCGGCCCAGCCCGGCCCTGCCCGGCCCAGCGCGGCCCGAGCCCCGGCAGTCCGGAGCGAGCGGCACTTACCGTCTGCGGACCTCCTCCGGCAGCGGGAGCGCGGGCGAGCCCGGCGCGGCCACCGGGGCCGGGCCAGTGCGGGCGGGCATCTCGTGTGTCCGAGCGGGGAGCAGGGAGCGGGGCCCGGGGGGCGGAAGGGAGCCGGCTCCGGCCGCGCAGAAGCTAGCGCGCGGACCGCCGGCTTTTCGCGCGGAAACCAGAACCGCCGAGAGGGGAGGGGGAAGGGGGAGCGGAGAGGGATATACCAACTGGGAGGGGGGGTGGCTGGTCGGCGACGCGGTTGGGGCTCCGAAGCGACCATTCCGGGAAGGACTGTACCAAACGCAAAGTTCCTGCGGGGGGGAGAATTGGGAATGGAGGCCCCAGCCCCCAGCTCCGACTCCCCTCGTCTCCCGGGCAGTCCCCGCCGCTCCCTGTCTCACGCGGCGCTGCAGGGGGAGGGTGAAGGAAGAGGTCGGTGTGTGTCATCCCGTAGTACCCGAGAGTAGAGAAGAGCGGCCTGTACCATCGGCGGCGGAGAGGGAGGGGGAGAAGAAATGGACTGGCCCAACGTGCCTCTCTGGAGCTCCGGGGCAAGGATGAGGGAAAAGAGAGGGGAGAGACAGCCATTAGATCCTGATGGCTGCGGGAAAGGATAGATTCTGGGGACCCAGGTCTACCTCTAGATGGAAGCTGAAACTTGTCCACCACAGCCTGTCTGCTTAGCCTCTGCATGTAATCAGACTGGGTGCTCAAACCTTGCATGTAGTCAGCCCGTTGGGTCAACCATTGGCTACAGTCAGCTTGTCTGGTCCAGCAGTTCATTCGGTCCTATTAACCCCTGACTGAGTCAGACTGTCTGCTCAATTACTACTTTTACTCAGCCTTTCTCTGTCCAGACATCATCCTGTGTTGGTAGTCACTCCCCCTGTCAACCAAACAGTCTGTCTTATCAACCATTGCCTGACAGTCAGTGGCAGTCAGCCTGTCTTATCAACCTCTGCCTGCCAGTCAGCCTGACCTGTCTGTGTCTGTGTGTTCAGCGTCAATAAACCTGTCTTATTCAGTCAATGTCAGCATCATAGGATCTTAGGATTCAGAACTAGAAGATACCTTAGAGATCATCTCATCCAACCCCCTTTTACGAAGGAGACAACTGAGGCCGCAAGGCCAATCAACTTGTCTTGTTAGGATGAGTTGGCCTGTCAGTATCAGTCAGTCAAAGCAATTCATTAGTACCCATTGTCCATGTGATGATGCTGGATCTGTAAGTTAGCAGACCCCAAAATCTTATTGCCACTGATTAACTGACCCCCATCCTATTAAACCTGTGGCTAAGGAGCCTTGAAATTAGGAGAAAGAGGTAATTGAGAAAGATACCTGGCTCTAAGAAAGCATATTGACAAGCTAAGATACCCCCCAAAATTCGTGGTTGACCTGGGTCCCTAAGGTGTTATTATTAGGCTCAAGAGTATTGCTGTTCTCCAATTTCAGAGATTCTTTAAAAAGCTCTGGGCTTTTTAAACCTCCCATCCTATAATCAACCCCTTCTTGGTCACTAAGGGAAAGCAGGGGAAACTATCTAATGGTCTAGCATTCTAGGTAGTTAGTAAGTAAACTTTGGAAAGGTTGTCCCTGCCTCGCCTGGGTGGAAAAGATGTGCAGAACTAGAAAAGGCTTCATCTGGCACGAGAGTTTTCACTTTGAACAATGCTTCCTGTTCCCAATTACAACCGCCTGCTGTGTTCCCTAGGGTAGAGGCAGAGTTCAGAAGTGGAACAGTCAAGAATCTGAGTCTCAGCCAAACCAAGGTCAGACACAGTAGGAAATGTACATTGCCAGTGACATAGTGGTCAGTCAGCCAGGAGACCAGTGGAGCTGAGTCACCAACAATGCAGTAGGGTTAGTCACCCACATGGACTGACAGCTTTACTGAGCATCCTCTCCCAAAAGTAGAGGACAGTAAATGTAAACAAGTCCAGGGGCCTGGGACTGATAGCACCTCCCCTTCTCAGCCAAAGAGGGAACTCAAACAAGCCAACCTTCAGTGTCTGCTCCTGGGCTTTGTCAGACCCTGTTCCCATACCTCAGATTCAATAGATCTGTAGAGATTGATGCCCCAAGAGGCTCCCACTGAAATGCAGCAGAAAAAGCCAGGTGGAATACCCCCTCTTACCTGCTGAACTGGGTATTCTAGTCATGTCTGGGGCACAGAGAAGGCTTGAAAGGTGTGTGTATGGAAGGGTGGGGGATAGGATCAGGTTCCCTGACCTATCCCCGGCTCTGCTTCCCACTTTTTTCTGGGCTAGGCTTATGGGAACCACTCCTTCCTCCAGAAAATTGGAGGAAGTGAGCCATTCCATCTCTATGGAGCAATTCTGGGTTAAAGAAAGCTAACCCAAAAATCCTTTCCATCACTGGGAGCTGGGTCAACATTGCTACCATTCCACAGAGGGGGAAATTGAGGCACAAAAAAAGAGGGGAACTACAGAACTCAATGGCTCCTTTTAAAATGTGTGTTTCCAAGCTCCACATTCAAGCATCTCTTCGAAATTCCCCCCATACCCCCACCCAAATGCCATGTGGGGCTGTGTCCACTGGAGGAGCTGCTCCCCAATGCCTCTGGCCAAAAGCTCAAGTTTCTAAACAAAGTTGTCTCTGAGCTCTCATTCTTCCTGGCCTTAAGCAGGGTTGGAGGCCCTGGGAGGGTTCAGTCTAGAAAGAGTTTGTGGCTGGGCCAAGAACGGAATATGAATGTCTTTCTGAAACTCTGCTCTTTTTGTGTCTACATGTATTGGTTTTCTTTTTCCAGATGTATCTGTGAGTGCAGTACACTGCCTCCTTTTTTTCTGTGCCTATATATAGGTATGCTTCGAAATAAGTGTGTGTTTTCTTTGGGTTTTCTAAGAGCATTCCTTATGTGTCTTTGGTTCTGTGTTGCTGAGTGTTAACAGAGAAGTAAGGATTCATAACCTGAAAAATTAATTATTCTTCTTCCCACCTTCATCCCAACCCCTGTCCCATCTGCCCTGAACTCTTAGGAGGAAATCCATGGTTCACCCTTAGGAGCTGCCTCACTCTATGCCCAGTATAAATGGAAGGAGAAAAAGAAGTTTCCCTGGGACCCAAGAAGGAGGCCTGGCTGAGGAGGAGTTCTGGAGAGACCACTTACTACAGCCATACATCTGGAGCTTTCCTGTGCCTGGAGATGGCAGCTTTCACCTTCTCATGGGGTTGAAGGGATGGGGAGTGAGTGATGGTGGTGGTAAATGGGTAGAAAACCACTGCTCTTCTTTTCCTCCTAAATTCTGGCCTGTGTTGATGGCTGGAAAGGATGCTAGGGGCCTGGATATCTGGGTTCTTCTCAGCTGTCCTTGGCAGGAGGTGGTCTTTCCCCTGTGCTTCAGTTTCCCCAGAATCCTCTATTGGGCTTGAAGAGGGCAAAAAGCTTTGTCCTAGAGGAATACCCTGCTACTGGGGGAGGAAATCTGTCTCTTCAGGGAGTGGCCCAATGTGTATCAAACTAGCCTCCTGAGAACATGGTGTCCCTGACTTTCCTGAGTGTCTGTTCAGTTCAGCTCTCCTGTCCTGCTGACAAAACCATATGGAAAAGTCCCTGGATAGCAGTAAATGGTAAGGATCAATAAATCATTACAGTTAGTTTTCTTTAAGAAGCAGCTACCCAGAGTGAAGGATAAGCCTGTGGGTGGGTCTGCCACTGACTTTCTTTTCTTGGAAGCCACCAAGATCCTGTCTTTGGAGTATGGGGAGGGGCCTGGCAGGAACAAGAAAGCAGGAGGGTTTCTAGGGCAGCAGAGTCAACAAGTCAACAACTACACTAGGGAGGCTGAGAAGAAAGGCAGGCTGGGGTTGGAGGGGCCTCTCCAGCTCAGACAACCCCACCCTGAAGCCAATCACCCCAGAATGCGTGTGTGGAGAGGCCTACTGCTCAAAGCCTGGAGGATAAAAGTCTTATTCCCTCCTTAGCAGCAGGACCCAAACAGAAGACAGAGCCCAAAGTGGAGACGCTGAGAGAAGTCAAACTGAACCGTTTAATCAGCCCAAGGTCAGAGGCTGAGGGAAGAGAGAGGCATATGGGATTTCCCAAAAAGACAGACAGAATATGGAGTCTGTTCCTCTCTCCTCTTTTTATCTTCATTGCAGTTGTCTTTGGCAAAAAGTCTCCTCTCAAGAGTCCTATTAAGACCTTTTTTTGCCCGATTAGTGGACAATAGGCGGCGTGTGAGATCCCTCCCCCACCCCACCCCCAATGGGAATGACTTCCTTGTCATTCCACAAGAAGCATTAGGACCGGAAGGAGAGAACTGTTCCCCCTCCCCTTGGGTTACTTCAACAAAGACCAGAGAAACAAAAATGTGGAATATTCAAACTACAAGTCACTGAGGAAAAACAAAAGAGAGTTGAGGGAATGGAGACACACATATACACACACAGAAGCATGCACACTCTCACAGACATAAATATACATGCTCATTTGTACCGTTTGATTCCCTTTCATCCACAGGGTTCCAGGCCTTTTCTGTAGAGTTAGGGGGTGGGGAGGGGGAGCAGCCCCAGGGCTTCTGTTCATTCTTCTAACTCCCATTCAGTCTAATTTGAACTGGGTAATAGCCAGTCTGCTAGGGTTAGAGGTCTCACATGTTCTACGGGATATGATACTTTGTGGGGGCTGGCAAAGGATGGATAAATGGGGAGGAAAGCTGGGAGGGGGAAAGGAGGACTGAGCTTGGGGTCCATGGTGAGAGCAGTATATAATTCCCACAAGAGCTAACCTCAGCTTTTTTTCACCCCTAATCTGGGATGTCAGGAGTACTCCCCTACTCCCCAAACTGGTCTAACGAGTAGGGGGGAGAGGTGACAAGAAAAGACCTACAGGGGAACCTGGCTCCTGGAAGGAGGGCTTCAATAGATTGGCCTCCTCCCTGTTCCCCCAATCTTCTTCCAAGTCAAGTCTTTGGGACCTCAGTGTCTTTTCCCTTTATTCTCTACCCCCACAACAGCGTACATAGCCACAGAAGACCAAGAATGGCACTTGGCAGCCCTCCCCCTTCCCATCTTGTGATTTCCCAGCATGTGGTGGGGTGAGGAAGGGAAGGAGATGTAACCGTCAGCTGTCAAGATTTGGGGAAGCTGTGGACTTGTACAGTTGGAAGGACAGAGAGGGAAGAGTCCCTGAACCCTTTAGAAACTGGAAGGGAAAGGTGGAAATTAAAGGCATTGGATATGTACACAAGGGAAGGAACAAGTAAGGAGGACGGTGATGGAAAAGATGAGGTGTCTACAGGGGCAGTGGTGACAATGTTGGCCCCTCAAACCTCTCTAATCTTATATCAGACTCTTTGGGAAAGAGCAGTTTGTCCCACCTCTCATTCACAACTTTCCAGAGATTGTGGGCTCTGACCTTGCCCCAAAGAATCATCCCCCCTTCCGGTTACCAATGTGCCCTTTAGCACCTCCTTCTCAAGCTACAGTCTCACACACATACACACACACCCTTCACACCACTGTGTTTCCCTCCATGAATGTAGGTGATGTGGGCATCTGTGTGCCACGTTCCAGGGAGCTTGAGCTTCGAAGGGGCAGGAGGCAACGCCCTGGGGTCCCTCCATGACCCTGCCGGGTTCGAGGCCCCCAACAGCACAGGGGCCGAAGCACCTCCCGCCGAAGGTCTCTGCTGCGCCATGTGTAGATGACAGGATTGAGCAATGAGTTGAATGTAGCAAAGGCAAAGAAGTAGTGGGCTTTGTAGAGCACAGGGCAGGCACGCACAGGGCAGGAGGTGTCCAACAGCAGTACAATGAAGGCTGGCAGCCAGCAAACGATGAAGACACCCAACACGATGGTCACTGTCTTCAGCAGTGCCAGGGTATGTGGTCCAGCCAGCTCTGCGTGGCTAGAACGCACTACACAGTAGATGCGCACATAGAGGGCAACTATAGCCAGCAAGATGGCAGTGAAGACAGTCACCACAAAAAGGACATAGGACTTGGCATAGAGTGGCAGCACTGTGGAGCAGGCATCCAGGTGACCAAGACAGTTCCAACCCAGGATGGGCAGACCTCCAAGGGCCAGAGAGATGACCCAGCAGGCCCCGATCAGCAGCAGCATCCGGCAGCTCTTGTCGCTACCGTATACCTTCACTTTTGCAATAGCTACATGCCGCTCAATGGCGATGGCCAGCAGGCTGAAGACTGAGGCAGAAAGTGTGATGAAGGCTGAGCCCTCTCGGATAAACCAGAGCACAGGGGTCAGCTGCAGCGTTCGGGGGCCAGACAGCAGGGTATTAGCAATGAAAGCTACACCAGCCAGCAGATCAGAGGCTGCCAAGTTGCCCAGGAACAAGTACATGGCTGAATGAAACTTGCTATTCCGAGCAACAGCAGCCAATACAAGCAGGTTCTCCAGGATGATGGCACAGCACAGCAGGACGATGAAAGCTGAGGCTGCCTGGCGGGATGGCGTGTCTGGGGGTACAGGAGTCTCCTTGGTGAAGTTGTAGTGTTCAAACACCTTGTTAGGATTCAGGTAATCTTCATAAGGGCTGCCCATGGCAGGTGGGGTGAGGTGTTGTCCCTCACCCCACCCCCCACCAAAAGCCAGATGAGACTCAGCAGCCACTTGAGGCCATGGGGTTGTGAAAGCTAGGGAAAAGAAAAAACAATACAGTCAGCAACCTGAGGGAACTGGGGGTGGGGGGGTGGGGAGGGGCTGATCTCTACTCCCACCCAAAGTCATAGATGACATGTTCTTGGACTTGAAGAGTAGGCATGGTACATCCCCCCACCCTGGGGTGGGAACAGTGGATGCTTTTCCCAGTGGCCCATCATCAGGGGCAGATCCTCATGGTCCACGTATGGTCTGAGAGATTCAAGGTGGCATCAAAAAGAACCAGGAACAAATTTTCAGTATTCCCCAAATGTGCATCTTGCTTAATTCCACTTCCCAACTTTTATTCATCCAACCTGTTCCCCTTCCATCAAAACCTAGCTCAAAATTCACCCCTGCCAGGAAGCCCATGCCTTTGTCCCCTTCTCTTTTCCCTCAATACCTACAGACTTGATTTATACTAGTTCATTAGTACCAATGAGTACAGGTTTTTTTTGCTGCTTTGTGTGCTCTGGATATTTTATCATACATAAACTCCATTTCCTCATCTAAATTGGGAACTACCTATAGATGTGGTCTTTCTCTTTACCCGCCTCCCAAAGTGCCCAGGTCCGGGCTTTTGTACACTGGAAGTATGACCCATGATGCTCCTTACCTACCTGAGAGAGGGTGATACTGGGCTAATAGCACCCTTGTTACCTGGTCACCTTTGTTGCCAGCTCCCCATCATTTCCCAGTTGGGGCTACAGCCCCATAACCTTAACTGCCTGCATAAAAAGGGTCAAGGTGATTCCAGGTGGGCAGAAAAGAGGCCAGAATCTACATAAATCCTAGAACAACTACTCATGTTCTTTTCATAAGTTATTCTACCCCTCTCTTTGTTTTACTGGGCCCTCCAGGCCCAGAGCTTGAGTTCATCCATGCCCTTCTCTGTTTGGAACTACTCTGAAGCTCAGGATGATGCCCCACCCCCAAACTTGAAGGAGTCTGGTGGTAAAGACTTCCCTCTGGCCTTAGAAGGGAACTCTGATCTAAGAAAGGGACACGCACACTTTATCCAATCTTGTGCATTAGGGGGATGGGGATGAGGGGTTGAGTCAGGGAGGAGACAGCTCTTTTTCAAAAACAACTCTTTGTCATCAGCAGGAGAGGGGCGGGGGTGAGGGAGTGGGGGTGGAGGGTGAGCTCAGACAGGGTGTCCCAGGAGAATAGGCAGGAGGGGGGAGGACCACTCTGCTGAGATACATTCCAGATGTGCAAGGCTTCTGGATTGGGGTGGAGCCCATGCTCTGGTCATATCCGGTCCAGGGAATTGATGAGGGAGAGAATACGGGGGGGGGGATGGGCAACATGAAGGAGATCATAGGAAAAGGGGGAGTCTAGAGAATGAGAAGAAATTGGAAGGAGTGTCCAGCCTTCAAATGAGAAATTTCCAAACAGAGCAAACGGAGACATTGCTCAGAGGGGGAGGGAGAGATGTGTGACAGGGACTATATGGCCAGATTCTTGCAGAAACAGATATTATGAGTCTCCTGGCCCAACTCAAAATAAGAAGGGGCCTCTTCTAGGTTGTACAGGGCAAGGGGAGAGGGGTGGGGAAAGAGAGTCTCTCTATAGAGACAGTTCATCTAGTTTCATGCTCCCGGTCAGACCAGCCTCTCCCATATAGGAGTGCAACTGTATCCCACCCTTCTCTCCACCCCTATCAACTCAATTCCTCTCATCTCAGTAGGCTCTACTCTGTAACCCTAGGGCCTTCCCTAATGGGGTGGGGGAAAATGTTGTAGTGGCAACCATGGGGCATCAGATCAAGGTGGTAGTGAGCCAACTCTCCCAAACCCCATCATAACAAGAAACAGGAGCCAGTGCCTTCCCTTTCTCAGGTAAACTAACACGGTCTTTCCCACAGCCAGCTTCACTGTCCTAGCTCCTGAAACTGCAGCAATGGTCTTGAGAGATAATACGTGAACTCTGGGAATGGGACTTCACCTTGTGGGGGTCCCTGTACCTTTACACTAGTGCTGCTGTCTGAGTCTTCCTAGGAACCCCTTTAACTGAGATTCCCCCAGACTGTCCAGCCTCAGGGTCAAGCCACGCCCAAGATTGAGAGCTCAGCCCAATGGTTGCTTTGGCTCTTGGCCTGGTTCTCTACCGCCTGGGTTGGGGAGGGGGGAAATCTGAGGCAGGAGAGGGCATCAGTCCTGGTTGGAAACAGAGGAGGATTTGTCTGTCTCCTTCCCTGGACTGTGGCCCTGCCCAGCTCAGCTGACAGAGCCCCCTTGTTTCTAGGACTCAACCTTGGGCTCTGTGAGGCCCTCTGCCAGATGGAGTTCAATCAGAGGCTGAACTTTGCTAGAACCTAGGCCCCTCAGCACAGGATAGGACTTAGATGCTTGGCCTAAAGCTGTGAGAAAAGTCCCACAAAGGAACCCATGCATCTTTTGGGCTATTTCCCAGCCAGTGAGGCCTATTACTTGACTATTTTCTTTTTCCCAAAACTTTACTGATACACACAAAGTCCAGCTGGTGACAGCATCCCTTTGAATTCTCAGACTGATCCTATGGCTATATTAAGAAGGCAGACAGAAAACTCTAAATTTCCTTTGAGGAATGAATTAATGCCAGTTTTAGACTTCTGGGTTGGATGGAAATGAGACATTGACAAAAAGAACCAGACCCCAAGTGGGCAACCCTAACCTTCAAGGACTGCAGCCTTCTCAGATCTACTCCCTATATGGGTTCACTAACAACCAATAAAAGTTCTACCTCTTGGAACACTTACTCTCATTGGTTGTTTTTCTATAGTTGGATTATCTCTCTCCTTCCAGGTGTGATGGACTGGAATGGAACTGCTAAAATTCCCAGAACCCACAAGTTTTGTTTCAGTCTCAAAGTGAAGGGTGGTAAGAAAAGGAAGGGCCACAGCCTCTACAACTTGCATATGACCATAGCTATCTACTTTCCAGGGCTCTGAGGTCCAAAGATTGATTGGCAGTTGATTTCAGAAGGAAAAAAAAAACAATCTGTTAACGGATCAGTAGTTTCCCCCTCTTTCCTGCTCCCAGACAATAGTGCAGTTATGCGTGTAGGAAGTCCAGGCCTGCCCTAAACATAGCCCTGGCCACCTACTGCCAGTTCCCACACCCCCGCTGTGGGTTTGGACCACTCCGGAAGTGAGTTCATTAGCTCCAGGGTCTCTCAGAGGGATAGGAGACCTAGGGAGCAGAAGAGTCATAGATGGGTAAACCGAGGTGCTGGCCCACTGTATCTCCACTTCCCAATCTTATGGAAGAAACATCCTCGAGTCAGTACCATTCCCTCCCTACCACCTCTCCCTATCTCACAGACTCAGTAGAATTCTCTGTGCTAGAGTTGAGACCCTCAGGTATGCAGGATGGGGAGGAGCGTCAGGCAGATGCAGGCAAAGGAGCTAACCCGGGTTTAGCCTGGGACCCACAGTTGAGTCAGACTCAGACTGTAGACGTTTTCCCAGCCTCAGCTCCCTTCTTGCCCAAAGTCATGCTCAGCTTCGAAAGAGTTAAAATCTTTCCAAGCCTGGCTCCGGAAATCGCCAGACCCAAAATGGAATGAGGGGCCAGCAGGACAGAGCTAGAGCAGCCTAGGGAGATGGGAAGAGAAGAAAGAAACACAAACTGCTTGGTCAGCGCTCGGGTTGCAATAGAAAGCCTATGCAAGAGAGCCCAGGTCAAGAGCCCCGAGTGGGAGAGAGAGAAAGGGATGGTAATCCTCCCTTCTTCTTCCCCTCGACCCAAATCAGGTCCACAAACCCAAGTCAAGTGGATACCTCAGACTGTGGACGCGTGTATAACCTAAGGGACTGGCCAGAGCACCTGCCACACAGCATATCCAGCTCCAGGCATAATGCATTAGAAGGCGCCACTGGGAAATGCCCATTAAGACAAGGAGAGATTCTTATCTCCCTCTCCGGATGCAGAAGGCCATTCTCTGGTTCCCAGAGTACCTAGGCAGGAGCCAGCTCCAGAGACCGACTACGAGAAACCCTCTAGGATCAGCAGAGCTTTCAAGCTGCATATTCCGAGCTGAATCTGCCTCCTATATGAGGATTTCCCGGGGTGGGGGTAGGGGGTGAGAGGGTGAGGAAACAGAGTCGCTGTTCTCTTTTCAGTCCGCAATCTCTCAGCTAAATCTGAGTGCATCTCCATGGTGATGATGGCTCCGCCCCCACGGGGAGTCCACTTGTGTCTTATCGCGACCCTGGAATGCTCGGTATCCGCACCGGGCCGCCCCGCTTATCTCCGAGGTTGCGGCCTTTTAGCCTTGGGTTCTCCTCCGGCTCTAGCTCAGGCCCTTGCTCTTGTTCCAGGCGTCGGACTCCTTAGTTTTCCCCGAGGGGGCGGCTGTAGCTTTGAGCCCAAATATCCTCCTGGAGTGCGACAAACCTAGCAGAGAGTTCACTTTCCCCGGAGCCCAGCAATTCGTGGTCTGGGGGCGGGGGGGGAGTGAGGGGAGGAGGGGAAGAAGGAAGGAGGGGGCGGAACCAGGAGGATCGAGGGGAAGTGGCGATGTGTCGGAGTCTCAGGGAAAGTTCTTCCATAAAGATAGGGATGGGGGAAGGGGAAATCGGAACTAGATGAACTCCTAAGAGTCACCTAGATAGAACTTGGGGAGTAGACCCAAGGCCGAGACCCTGATATCCTAAGGATTCTTGGTAAAGACTAGGGCCAATTCCACTCAGGACAGCTTCCATAGGGCTGCATCGTGGGCCCGGTGCCCAAGGAACATCTGACGGTCATAAGCCCCTTGGGAAAGTCCCCGCCGCCACTGCTGTGAGTCAGTCTCGGGTCCATGGGGGCCACGCAGGGAGCCGGGGACAAGCACACGCCGAGACACCCTCAGTGACACGGCGCGTCCCCGGAGGTTCCTAGCAAAGCTTCTTTTGACTCCACATGGTTCTCGTTTTCCCTCCCGAAGTACGCCTTGCCATTCTGGGAAAGGGGAAGGAAACTGAGGCAGCAGGCAGCAAAGGAAGCGGAGAATCAGCCGGACAGACGCCCCCGTTTCTGGGAAAGTTGTCTAGTCCCCTGTTCCTCAGTTCAGTGGACCTCAGAGGACCATTCCCTCCCGCCGAACCTTTTTGGCAAACCACCGGAGTAGGAGCTCCGACCCGAACCCAATGTGCAGGGGTTCCTCAGCCCAGTCCCGTCTGACATCGCCCGAGTCCCCAGGAGCCCCGTCCCCGCCCCCATTCTGTTCACTATGAAAGTTCAGATTCCGCCTCCGCCTCCGCCTCCGTGCAGACTTCCTGCCATCCGAGAGGAGGGAAAAGGAGGGGAGAAGACATGCGAGGAGGGGGTCAGAAAGGAGAGTAGAGGGGCTTCAAAGGACGAGGAGGTGTCCACCCTCGGATAAGAGATGTGGGCACAGAATTTCCCTCTGGATCCTCTAAGGACACGTTATGCTGGGGAGAGGGGAGGGGGAAAGCCCTAGAAGAAAAGAAGAGGAAAGCCCCCTTTCTGTGCGACTGGGCTGTGGGCCAAGGTGGAGGAGGGGGGAAATCTGAGTGTGCACGCGCCCTTACTCGGCCACAGGCCCCCGCCCCTAGATCCCACTGGCCTCAATGGGACTGGGACCCGGACCCGCACAATCGGAGCCGAGGGGCTGGGGAGGTAGCAGGAGCAGGGTCCACTGGGAGCGTGCTGCTGCGTCCCTCCTCTTTCACAGTGACAATCTCCCGCGCGCCGCACACTCACCTGGCTCCTCCCGGGCTGGGCTCTGCCTCTGGAGCCGCCTCCCTCCCGCGGCGGATGCTAGCCCTTAGGCCGGACCGGGCCGGCCCAAGAGCGCAGTCTGAGTGTTCCGTGTCCCTCTTGCGCTCTCACAGCAGCCGCAGCTCAGGCTGGGGCTCCCCAGCCCGCCCGGCTGCGCCTGGGTCGTGGGGCGGGGAGAGCCACCGCCTCTGCAACCAGCTCGCTCCTCCCCGAACCCTTCCCCCTTTTCTCCTTTCCGGACGCGACTCCGCCACAGCCAATGTCTTCCAGATGTGGCTGAGCCCCGCGCCTCTGGAGAGGTGGAAGGGAGGCCGGGGAAGGGGCAGTAAGAGAGAGAAAGACCTCTAGGAAATGGGGGTGGGGGAGAGATTGGTTAGGGGAAGAGGAATTGTTGGGGGGACCACAAAAGAACATACCTGAGAAATTGTAGCAGCTACCTTCATACATAGCACATTCTCTTTCTGCCCAAGCCGTGGCAGTTTGGGTGGAGGAGGGCAGAGAGGGAGAACTAAGACTTCATTCTCTCCCTAGCCTAAGGTGTCGTTGCTAACCTTCCCAAGGCAGTTCAAGGGACAATGTCCCTTGTCACTCTCCCACTCGGAGTTATCGGAAGCCCAGGGTTCTAATCTGGTCCAAGCACTCAGCCAGAGAAGAGAGTATCCTTCCTCTCCTCTCCCAACTCACTAGGTGCCCACTTAAGTGGATGTTCTTCCAATTCTGAAAACAGAATTGGTCCCATGACTTCACTAGTCCAGTCCTCTACAACACCACTCGAATTCTTCCTCCTCCACTTCCCACCTCCCAGAGGACTCTAGTCTCTTGTTTTGGGATCCCCTGTTCTGAGGTCCTACTGAGATTAGATCCCTCTTCTCTCAGCAGCCCACATTCATATCAAACCTAATCTTCTCCCTGGCTTCTTTCAAATAAACTGAACCCTTGTTCTGGGTCTAGTAATTTAGAGGATTTTGTTTTGTAGGTCTTTTTCCAAGGAGCCACCTGCAGTGACCTAGGAAGTGGAGAGGCCAAGGGGCACAGAGACATCTGACTTCAAAGAATATACAGGCCATTGCAAAAGTCGAGGAGACACCTAGGGGAGTACAGAGAGGGGCAAAAGGGAGGTGGAATTTGGCAGGAGGGACCAAGGCTTCAATATACAGATTAGGTCATTGTTCTGAAATGAATCTGCCCCTGGACTCAGACAGGCTTATGTTTATTGCCTCTGAACTCAGGTTTGCTCAATTAGACCATCACCTATCTCTTTTTCCCAGTCTGCAGCCCTATTTGATTCACACAATTCTGATACTACCATTTATTAGACTTCTCCTCTCACTCAAGTCTGATTCAACTCGGATTCTTAGTCTCCTCCCACCCTAGATTGGAGCCTTAATCTCAAAGTGGCCTGTTCCTTAGCTCAAACACAGCCTCTACAGCACTCTAACCTCATTCCTGTCTATCCTCAGCTGAAAGGTGTATTTTTTCCCTTTATTTTCCCCCAAGAATAGTCTCCTCTGTCCCATCTAATATGCTGCCTTGTTCAGCCTTAGCATCCCTGTATTTTTTTAAAGTCCTTGTAGATTTCCACTGCAATAGAAGTTCATGGGGCCAAAGCTGAAAGTGTTCAGAGGCTGGGAAGGCCATGACTGTAATTGTGGAGAGATTAAGCCTGGACCATGTGGTGGTAGAGAAGACAGACTTCGCTCTGTACATGGATATCAGATCTTGAACAGTTTCAGACTGGGCCTCTTTCTCGGGCCCACTTCAAGACATTAGCCCTGGGAAGCATCAGCTAGAAAGAACAACCTCAGATCCAAGTGGTTGGGGTTTCTCTTTTCCTCGTCCATCCTTGACCTGCAGAACAGGTAGACACCTGAATATGATACAGAAAGATGAGCTCTCTTGAGCGGATATCCCCTCACCACTTCAGGAACCTGAAAGCTGCTGAGGAAGTCACTCTGCTCCACTTCTGTTGCCTGTTTTCAGTCATCTCATGGTAATTGCGGTTCACTGTCTCTGAGTACAGAAATGGAGAGGAAGGAGACTGTGAAATCACCTCTGCCCCAGGCAGGGAGAGGATTCAGATTCTCTCCCCTATAATGGAGACCAAGACTGACCACCACATGGTCTCAGGGACACACAGTCTCAGACTCAGACCCATATATTGACTGGCACAGATTCAGGACAACAAACACATAGACCCAAAAATACAGACACCCCTACCTACAGGGCTTTGGAATCAGACTCAATGAGAATCCAATTTCTCAGACAGTGTCACAGAACTGATTGTATATAAGATAGAAAGCTGTGAGCTAGTAGAAGACAGTACAGGCAAGTAGATTCATAGAAGATTGAATGAACCAATCAGGAGTAGTGAATGATGCTTGCTTTTTTTTTTTTGCAATCCAGTTTAAGTGACTTGCCTGGTGTCACACAAGTATTAATCGTCTGAGGTCATATTTGAGTCCTGATTCCAGGTCCTCCTGACTCCAGAGCTGGTGCTCTATCCATTGTACCACTAGGTAACCCTGAATGATGCTATTTCTATGCCAACTTGGAGACTAGAGGTGGCTGAGGACTCCAGGGATGTGTCCTCAGCTCAGAACTGTTCAACACTGTTATCAATGACTTAGACAAAGGTGGAGAGAGAATGTTTATCAAATTCCCAGTTGATGTGAAGCTAGGAGGTATAACTCAAACAAGTCATAGATGGAAGGATGTGCCACATCTCATCTTATTAAATCTGATAGGGATAAATGTAAAGTCTTCATCTGAGATTCCAAAAATCAGCTTCACAGGTCCAGGATGGGGAGGAAGACAACAGCTCATGGGAGAAAGAGACAGGGATTTTAATGGACCAGAAGCTCAATATGAATCAACATTGTCATAATTTTAGCAGCCAAAGACTCAAAACACATTTCCTCCTCTGAAAAAATGAGGGGGTTGGACTAAGTGACCTCTGAGGTCCCTTCTAGGTCTAGATATGTGATCCAATGATCTTAAGCTGCATTCCTGAGACAATGATAAGGGTGAAAATGAGGGAAGTGACAATCACTTCTATTACTACCTGTATTGTTTTCAGTTCAGGTTACCATGTTTTAGGAAGGACACTGGGACAAACTAGTGAATGCAGAGGACTTTGACCAGGAAGGGAAGGGGATTGGGATGGATTCCATATGAAAACTGTGGAAGGATCCAAACATTCTGGAAAGCAATTTGGAACTACACCCAAAGGGCAACCAAACTGTGCATACTCTTTGATGTAGCAATACCACTACTAAGCCTGTATCCCAAAGAAATCACAAAAGACAGAAAAAGACCCACATATACAAAAATATTTATAACAGCTCTTTTTGTGGTGGCAAAGAATTGGAAACTGAAAGAATGCTCATCAATTGGGGAAATGGCTGAACAAGTTGTGTTATATGAATGTAATAGAATATTATTGTTCCATAAGAAATGATGGGCAAGCAGATTTCAGAAAAACCTGGAAAGACTTACATTAACTGATCCTGAGTGAAGTGAGCAGAACCAAGAGAACGCTGTGCAATGATCAACTTTGAAAGACTTAGCTCTTTTCAGCAATGCAATGATCTAAGACAATTCCAAAAGGCTCATGATGGAAAATACTATCCACATCCAGAGAAACAACTATGGAGTCTGAATGTAGATTGAAGCATGCTATTTTCTCATGGTTTTTCTCTTTTGTTCTTCCTTCACAACACAACTAATATGGAAATATTTTTAATATGATTGTACATGTATAGCCTATATCAGATTGCATGCTGTCTTGGGGAGGAAGGAGGGGAGAGAGGGGGGAAATTTAGAATTCACAATCTTATAAAAGTGAATGTTGAAAATGAAAAATTAATTAATTAATTTAAAAATGTAAAACCAGAAAAAATAAAATTAGGAGGTTGAACTAAAAAAAATGGGTATTTAGTTTGGAGAAGGGAAGACTTAGAAGGACAACGATCTTTGCCCTAAAGTATTTGAAGGGTAGCAAAGTGGTAGAATGGATAGGAGTCTGGGCCTGGAGTCAGGAAGAAATGATAATCTGATCTCAGACACTAGTTGTGCAATCCTGAGCAAGTCACTTAACTGCCGTCTGCCTCAACTTCTTCATCTGTAAAATGGGAATCACAATAGTTCTTACCTCCAAGGCTTCTTGTGAGGATAAAATGAGGTAATATTTGTAAGGCACTTTGCAAACTTTAAAGGGCTATATAAATACTATGATGATGATGATGATGATGATGATGATGACTCATTAGTTTTATTCTGTTTGACCCTGGAGCACAAAAGTAAGAGGAATAGTTAGAAGTTTCAGAAAGATACATTTAGGCTTGCTATAAAGAAAAATTAGAGATATTCAAAAGTGGAAGGGGGCCCCTGAGGTGATGATAAGTCATCCCTCAATGAAGACCTTGATGAGTAGGTTAAATGATGACTCAGGGAATGTTATAGATGAGATTCCTGTTCAAGTCCAAGTTGGAATGTATGCCTTTCAAGGTTCCTTCGAACTCTGAGATTCTGTGGTTCTCAGATACACAGACCCAGCTCCTTGCTGTCTCTCTCATGTGTCCCAGGTATAGAACTTACTTCATAGCAGTCTCAACCAGGTGACCCCCCAGTCCAGCCTCACCTACTTTCCCTAACACATAAAGAAGTCACTTGTGTGTCTGGAAAGGGGCAGAGGGGACAAGAAGTCTCTCTTGCCCTAGTCTAGACCTGCAATTTCCAGATGCCTCTCTGTTTTACCACCTGAGTCTCTCTAGATAACTCCCATCAGATTCTGATACATACACACCCCTAAGTCTAGCTGGTGGGGTGGAGGTGGGAGAGTAAGAAGGATCAGTGGTCTTATGGCCTTTACCTCATTAGACATCCCCTCTTTAGGGTCCAGTATTTTCACTGAAGGTAGAACAAGACCAAGGAGCCCTGACTCCAGTTCCTAGTACTCCTCTCTTTGCCTGCCAAATGTTAGCATCTGGAGAACAGAATGTATAGGGAATGATCGGGGGGGGGGGCAGACCCCATTAGGGGAGAAGGTCAGAGCTACCACTCCCCAATATCCCCAATGCTATTCCAGCCCCAAGTGACAACTGGATCCAGGATAGGGGGAAGGGAATGCCTGCGTCAGAGAAGATTTCCAGATGTTCTTCTTGGCACTCTAAAGGGGATGGGGGGGGATGAAGGAATGGGA